TACCATGGCTTACAGACTTCCTCAGTGACCGACGCCAAGCTGTACGCTTCCGAGGGCTGTCTCCACCTTTCAGTCACTCACCTGTGGCGTCCCCAAGGCACCAAGATGGGACCCACTCTGCTTCCTTATGCTCATCAATGATGCCCTAAGAGAAACCCCTGCTCGCTGGAAATATGTCGACGACTCCACCATTGGGATCAGCGTCAACAATTCTGCTCCCAACTATACCGCCCTTCAGGATTTATTGAACAGTCTCCAAAACTGGGCCACCAACAACCATGTCACCATCAACCATACCAAGACCATGGTTATGCACATCAACCTCTCCTCCGACATTGTCCCACCTCCTTCCATTACTCTAGGTCCGAACACACTCCAGGTTGTAGATTCCACGAAGCTCCTCGGCGTCACCATAGACAACAAACTAAATTGGAAACCACACGTCAGTGAAGTTGTCAAATCCTCCAGTTTCCGTCTCCACCTCCTCCGCCGACTCAAGTCCCTCAGAGTTCCTGCACCCGAGCTCCTCAGTGTTTACACAACATTCATACTTCCCAAGCTCACCTATGCCTCCCCCACCTGGTCTTCCTCCCTAAATGCCACACAACGTAAACACCTAGAAAAAGTGCAAAAGAGGGCATGCAAGATTATTCTCTCCCCTTCCTACTCCACATATCAAGAAGCGCTCAACACACTGACCCTTTCGACTCTCACTGACCATCACCACAACCACATCTGCAAATTTGGCAAGAAGCTTCTACACCATCCTCGACACCGGCTCCTACTACCACCTGAGATCCCTAGTCCGAGAATTGCTGTTCGACACCACAACCGCATCCAGCCCATACGTGCACGAACTGATCGCTATAAGAACAGCCCAGTCCCAACCATTGTAAAATTATCAATAACTTGTAATAAACCAGTGTATTCACTCCCAGTAAACACTACCCTGCACTGTCACTATGTTGAAATGAACTGTAGTTTGAGCTTTTCCCATCTAGTTATTATATGTCTTATTTGTGTCACTTATGTTACTTGTATATTATTTGTACAGTAATTCGTAACCCATTCCCCAAATATGTAACTGTATATTTTCAGCCTTCTGGCTGCCAAGCTCTTTCAATAAACCGTTAATTATTATTATTATTATTATTACACACACACACACACACACACACACACACACACACACACGCACACACGCACACACACCTTCCTGAAATATATACAGATTCTCATAACTGTGTAGTAATATATATTTTTTTAACACGATTGAAGCTGAAACAACACTTTTCGTTGAGACATTTCTTCTGACATAGTGGACATGGGACTGACATAGTGAACATGGGACTGACATAGTGAACATGGGACTGACATAGTGGACATGGTGTATATATACTATAAACATTTACATCTACACACTCATATAAACATCAAAATACTCGTAGAATTTAAAAAAAAAATACATGGTTTTTTTTCCTGGCGTTTTATAGAGACATTAAAAGGACTGAAGATGGATGTTTTCTTAGCTGGAAATATAAACATAAACAGACGAAAGACAGTCACAATGTATCCAATAGACGATTCAAATCTCCTCACGAAAGGATCCAGTTACATATAACAAGAGTAAAATGTCCCACTATAGAGGATATTATTGACATTATATAAAATGTTTAGAAATAGTGGAGGAAAAAAACATAATATATTAAACCACATATAATCCCAAACGACAATTATATACACGTAAACATATTAGACTAAAATATATAAATAGATAAACTTAGAATAATTTTTACGATAATAAAGTAATTCTAATGAGAGTAAATACCTGAAATATGAATAATAACTCAGGTAATTCTAGTATGCCTAATGAGTGAGGTCTCTTACCTGTACATAAACCAGATATGAAACGACCAAGGATTAACATTTCCATCGACCCGAGCATCTTGCAGGAAATGAGTATGAAGCCGGAGCACAGACACAGCCAGTGGTTGACCAGCAAGGCGAGGCGTCTGTTGGCGGGACACATTGATGCAAGTTATTTGGGGGATAGGTGGAAGTGGTGTGTTGTGTTGTCAGCAGTCCTAGAAACCCAACCCAACCCAAGCCAACCTAGCCCAACCTAACCCAACCCAACCCAACCCAAGCCAACCTAGCCCAACCTAGCCCAACCCAACCCAACCCAACCCAAGCCAACCTAGCCCAACCTAGCCCAACCCAACCCAACCCAACCCAAGCCAACCTAGCCCAACCCAGCCCAACCTAACCCAACCCAACCCAAGCCAACCTAACCCAACCCAACCTAACCCAACCCAACCCAACCCAACCTAGCCCAACCCAACCCAACCCAACCCAACCCAACCCAACCCAACCCAACCTAACCCAACCCAACCCAACCTGAATTGTGGGAGAATCTATATGATAGGTGTAAATTGAACTCAACAGTCCTCTCAAAATAGAACACTTGGTAAGAGTTTCTCAGCGTGGCTTAACCAGATGCTGTTTGGTTACTGACAAATATAGTAGGTAGGTAGAGAGCACAAAAATTTAACCAACAGATTAGTTATAATTGACAAATATGAAGAATTAAAGCTGCAGATACAGAAACAACCAACCCTTAGATAAATAACTCCTTAATTGATTGTTTAAAAGATATATTTCCATACCTTCCAATCTTATCAGCGAGTTTAGTCCCGAATGATGCTCCAATGATGGCTCCTCCCACGAATATAGACACGATCAAGGCCCACAATGTCATCTCCTCGGTGTGTGTGAAGCGTTTACCATAGCTCTCCCACACCACGGTCCTCACCCACGACCGTATTATCTGAAATTACACCACACAAGCACACACACACCAATAAATTATAAATAAATGGCAAAACTCCTCCACAAAATCCTTATTAATACATATTGTTCTATTCACTAAAGTAATATACACAGATTTGTTAACCTAGAGACGAAAAACCTGTGTTATGTCTCAATATGTTTATGATATTTATATATAGAAACAGATTATTGTAGGGCATATATCTAGCGGGGGGGGGGAGTTATCTATGAGACATTCTATGGAGGTGTGTTGTGATGACCTGAAGAGAGAGGGGGGTTAAAAAGAGAGAGAGAGAGAGACGGGGGGAGAAAGCAAGAGAGAGAGAGAGAGAGAGAGATAAGTTTAGTTAGTGTTTCCTGAAGGGTGTCTGGGTACAGGGAGGGGAGAGGTGATAGTACTGACCTCTTGCGGTGTGTTGATGACGCCAAGGCAGTAACCCCCTGGCAGGCTGGACCCCAGTAAAGTAGCGACCACTGACACCACCAACCATACTGTTACACGGGGCGTCTCTCTCTTCTGTGTCAGGTAAATTGATGAGAAGTAAATGAGTTTGGTGATCATAACATAATAATACAAACTAAATAGATGATTGATTGATTGTGCAGGGGCGGACCCACGAATATCAAAAGGAGGGGTCCAAGATGTTGTGGGAGGGGGAACATGGCGAGCGCAGCCTCCCAGAATTTTTGGAGGGAAATCTGACCAATATCATGGGCATTTGGAGGCCATTTTGATGCCATGCACAATTTATATTAGGAGATATTCTGAAGTCAATAGTAAATACTTTTTTACTATACAAAAATGCGTGAGTATAATACTGCATTAAAGAGTAATGGAATTTTCTGGTGAAAAGTGTTGCCCAGTTTCCCAATCTTTATGTCAGTTCCTCGCCCCAGTGTTCCTCTGTTCCTTATCTGGGGTACGGCGGGGTACGGCGGGGTACGGAACATGTCCGTCGTGACTGAGGTGAAAGAACACTTGCAGGAGGTGATCTATCCCTGCCATAACTACATCTCCCAGGAAGGTGTTTCTGTGGTACACAAATGGGTTCGGCAGTCATTTATTTTCAGTCTGGGTTCCTGACGACAGTGATATAACCAAAGATGATCTTGTTGAACTGCAGACTAACGAAAGAATCCGGATGGTGTTTACATCAATGCAGCTGGACCTCTACTGGTGTGCTCAGCTCAAAACGTTCCCACAATTAGCGAGGAGAGCTCTGGAGGTCCTCGTGCCATTAGCAACGTACAGTATACAGTACTTATGCGAGGCAAGTGTGTCATCGATCCTTCACATCAAATGAAAAGCCAGAGACCGCCTAGATATAAGTGATGACGTGTGTGTGGGACCATTTTAAGACAAGTTCCTCTTTTCACGAACACTGTCGATCAAAAACAGGAAAAAAGTCCCTGCTTGATTGGTTACATTATTGAGTAAATCTACGTCACTTGTAAGCGTGTCGTTGTGCTATAACTGTGAATTTGTTTTGAAAATAAAAAAGTGTTACGAATCTACTTTAAGACTTAATTTTAACAAGGGGTAACGAGAAATATTTCTAAGGAAGGTTACGATCTGCGGCAGTATCATGTCAGGCAAGGGGGACACACCTCCAGTACGGTACACCCCCCATAAGACAAGGACAGAGAACCTTCACTACAGCCTCATAATTGAAGTGTGTTTACATCGCCCCATAGGGAAGCTTGCTGAGTTCATATGCTTGGGTTCCTGACTGATGCATTAAAGACGTAAGTGCCTGAAGGGTCATGGCTCTTGTCAGCAAATTACATTAATTGACAGAATGATGAGTGTGTGTGGGGGGATAATTACCGATTCAGATCATGTGTTTATGGCAAAGGCTTGTAGTGACGTCCCTCGCGTGTTGGTGGTGCGTGACATGACGAAGATATGTTCCATGATGGGACTCGTCACGCACACCCACCCACGAGCGGTGTAAGGACAGACAGGGGTCAATACTCAGTGTTCCTGACGCGGCAACACCTGCAGTCACCGAGTTGGATCATGCGCCCGCCACCCCTACACGCTACTGCCACCACCTTCTGCGTTGTGGTGCAGTATTGGCTCACCGCCCATTCTTACTGTGTCAGGTTAGGTTAGCTTAGGTTAGGTGTTCAGGAATTTATAAGAAAATATTACATTTTCGATAACCACCCAGCTGAACCCTCCCCCACCCGTGTTAGTGCAAGAGTGAAGCTTCAGAGACGTAACAATGGCGCTACTTAAGGTCAGAGGTCACAGCCAAGACCTGACCTCAATACAACGCCTTCCTGTGTGTGTGTGATGAGGTTATCGCAGGTGTATAGGCACTTGGGAGGGGACGAGAACCTATTGTGTATCTCATCTCGACACTGATTGGCTGAACTGATGCCGCTCATTTGTAACACCTCTCATGATTGGTGTGTGAAGCTTACTCTGGGTCAAGCACTATGGGCTGATGACACTTGATGAAATAACGAAAAGTATTGGAACGGTTTTAAAAAATAAGGACAATTTAACATTACTGCTATGGACGATTTGTGAAGATAAAATTAACCAATAATTTAACATAGACAATATTTAACACTATAAATATCTCTAACCGACTTCTCCCGATCAGATCCCACCTCGAAAATAATAATAAAAACGAAAGCGCATCACTAGAGAAAGATTTAAGTCATCCGCGACCTTATTTCCCGGCCGGTGACGTCACTCCACCAATCAATAACAACATTCCAGATTACACAACTTATCGGAAGCTTCTCGTGATGACGTAAGACAGTGCCAAGTGATAACTGGGCACTTACCACACCATTATTAGTCACTATTGCGATAAACACCCTAAAACTCTTATCTCACGTCACGTTTGGATTCTACTCCCATAGATCACGTGAGATGAGATTACGTCGTGGTTGGAATCCAGTCAAACTGTTGTTGTTCTCAAGGGGGAGTACTTACACACTCGCTAAGTTATCATACAGAACCAACACAACGGAGGGAGGCTACACTGGGGGGTGGGTGGGAGGGGTTCCTTACAAAACTATGGTGGCATCCTTCACCCTGTTATCTTAATCTAACCAAACCGAAAATAAGAGAAATAACGTCATGACAAATGCTTACCAACCTTACCAAGACGGCGAGAGAGGCTGTGTTTATATTAGAATCCACAGAGCCAGGGAGTAAAAGTTAATCTATGGAGTGACTGTTATTGTACTCGGGAGTAAAACACGAGAGGAGTGGAAGATAATGTTTAGTTGAGACACGACGCTGGTGAGTCTCTCTTATCTTGTTGGAAGGTCAAGTTGAGTTGGATTGATTTAGAAAAAGATTACCCCCTGACGAGGATGCCAACACCTGCGATCATTATACACCTGCGATCATTATACACCCGCGATCATTATACACCCGCGATCATCATACACCTGGGATCATTATACACCTGCGATCATTATACACCTGCGATCATTATACACCTGCGATCACTATACACCTGCGATCATTATACACTTGCGATCACTAAACACCTGCGATCATTATACACCCACGTTCATTATACACTTGCGATCACTAAACACCTGCGATCACTATACACCCACGTTCATTATACACTTGCGATCACTAAACACCTGCGATAATTATACACCTGCGTTCATTATACACCTGCGATCATTCTATCACCTGCGATCATTATACACCTGCGGTCACTAAACACCTGCGATCGTTATACACCCACGTTCATTATACACTTGCGATCACTAAACACCTGCGATCGTTATACACCCACGTTCATTATACACTTGCGATCACTAAACACCTGCGATCATTATACACCTGCGTTCATTATACACCTGCGATCATTATACACCTGCGATCATTATACACCTGATCATTATACACCTGCGGTCACTAAACACCTGCGATCATTATACACCCACGTTCATTATACACTTGCGATCACTAAACACCTGCGATCATTATACACCTGCGATCATTATACACTTGCGATCACTAAACACCTGCGATCATTATACACCCACGTTCATTATACACTTGCGATCACTAAACACCTGCGATCACTATACACCCACGTTCATTATACACTTGCAATCACTAAACACCTGCGATCACTATACACCCACGTTCATTATACACTTGCAATCACTAAACACCTGCGATCATTATACACCTGCGTTCATTATACACCTGCGATCATTATACACCTGCGATCATTATACATCTGCGATCATTATACACCTGCGATCATTATACACCTGCGATCACTATACACCTGGGATCATTATACACCTGCGATCATTATACACTTGCGATCACTAAACACTTTGCGATCACTAAACACCTGCGATCACTATACACCCACGTTCATTATACACCTGCGGTCACTAAACACCTGCGATCATTATACACCTGCGATCATTATACACCTGCGGTCACTAAACACCTGCGATCATTATACACCTGCGATCATTATACACTTGCGATCACTAAACACCTGCGATCATTATACACCTGCGATCATTATACACCTGACAACTATTTGGAATATTGATACATGTAAACTAATTCTAGCAAACACAAGTAAAAGCAAACAGCCCTATCAACTAGTTCACTATATTAGCCACACTACCAGAGCAACGGTGCCACACTACTAGAGCCACTGTGCCACACTACTAGAGCCACCGTGCCACACTACTAGAGCCACTGTGCCACACTACTAGAGCCACCGTGCCACACTACTAGAGCCACTGTGCCACACTACTAGAGCCACGGTGCCACACTACTAGAGCCACTGTGCCACACTACTAGAGCCACTGTGCCACACTACTAGAGCCACTGTGCCACACTACTAGAGCCACCGTGCCACACTACTAGAGCCACTGTGCCACACTACTAGAGCCACCGTGCCACACTACTAGAGCCACTGTGCCACACTACTAGAGCCACGGTGCCACACTACTAGAGCCACTGTGCCACACTACTAGAGCCACTGTGCCACCCAGGGTAATAATATACTCGATTTAGTTCTGTTAAACTTTAACAGAACTAAATCGAGTATATTATTACCCCGGGTGGGTTCGTTTATATGTTGGCTTAGAAAACAGTCCTGGATCGTCTCGAGAAAATCCTCTGATTCTGAGTTACCCGTAAGGTCGATCCAATCTATTTGGCCAAGGTTAAAGTCGCCTACTATACAGACTTTGCTATGTATGGAAGCCCTGCGCATTTCATCCCAAATAAGTCGCTCATTAACTCTATCAAGATTAGGAGGTCTATATATATTTTTCCCTGCCGTCGATTAATTCTATCCAAATTGTTTCTGTATTCAGTTCAGTTTTTATTCTCTTATTTATTTCACACTTCAGATTATCCCTGACATAGATTGCTACTCCGCCTCCTTTTTTAGTCTGCCTATCGGTATGGAATAATTTGTATCCTGCAATTTGGTATTCGACCGGTAACTCACGTGAGTCTAGGTTGATCCATGTTTCAGTGAATGCTATTAT